ACGAGAAGTAACCTCTAATAGCTGCTCCGATGACTCCCGGCTATCATAATCATAATAATACTCAATCAGAATCAATAACACTACTTAGGGTAAAATGACCATTTTACCCCCTTGGCCTAACTTGAACCATCCCTAAGGCCCAATTCTAACTTCTTAAACCCAGTCCACTAATGGCCCACTAAAGGCCTACTAATGGCCCAATTTTCTAAATTGGGCCCAACTCTTTGAATGGACCCTTCCCTTAAGCCCAACAAGTGATTTAGTCCATTACTAGCCCCAAAGAATAATCCAATAAGCCCATAGTGAGCTTCCTTGTCTCACGTCGTGAGAGTCGACTTGACTCGGGTCGACACGGCGAGTCAACTCGGTTCACTCGTCCAGGGTCTCAGATTGGGGTAATCGTCGTGCTCACGTCGAGAGGCTATACCCCTCACGTCGTGAGAACTGTTCTGTGATCATTAAGCTCTTAATCCTTTAAGATGAGCGTTGGGACTTTCCAGAATATCTTATTTAGTCTAAAAGACCATAAAAATCATATCTTTTCAGCCATGCATGTCCAATGCATGACCTAATCACTAGTTAGGTCAAGAGTTGATATAATCATAAAGATTCAAGCTTGGGGGACATAACTTGCACCAAAGTCCAGATCCAGAGGTTCTAATACAGCAAATGACTCAATGGTTCATAAAGTTGCTAACTTTATGAACTTCATGCTTGGCAAACCAAGATCTCATGCAAAGAAGGTGGCCATAACCTAGATCTAGCAACCTTAAGTGAAAAGGTAGGATCTTTATACCTTATTGGAGCTCACAAGTTCAGGTAGTCTACAAAGATGAGCTTATCTTGCCAAAGTAAGTCACTACAAGAGCTTCTTCTTCTTCCTCTTCAAAGAAAACAAAACACCATTGACACCAAAACCTCCAACAATGGCTCAAGGGCTCAAAAGGATCAAATTTAGGGTTTTCAGTGACTTGAGAGTGAAAGAGGCTGAGGATGGGCGACCCTAGCCTCCTCATTCTGTTTTATACCCGATTTTTAGGGTTTGGGAGCATTAGGCTTGGCTCACGTCGTGAGAAATAATACCTCACGTCGTGAGGATCGAGGACGCGGGTCAAGGAGTCAATGGCCCCTACTCACGACGTGACCGCTATGGCTCACGTCGTGAGCCTCTTTTATGTGCAAAACTAATATTTAAAATACGTACCGGAAACCATGCGTTACAAAAGCATTGGTCGAATGTTGATTCAATTTTATTATGATTTTCTGTTCAATTCCTCTTCTTTCTGATCCTTCTGTGTTTTTGAGCCATGTCTCCAACTTTGTGGGTTTGACGTGTGTTTTTTAGCCATGTCTCCGCCTTTGTGGATTTGATGTTTCCGACGATTTCCCGTCCAAGAAATCAGGATTTCAAATTCTATGGCCAACCACTTCTGCTCTCAATTGCTGCAACCAAACATTAGCCAACAACCGACATGTGCTCTGTTGTTGTTTAGAATTTCGGTATGTTATATATTGTTTCTAATTGATTTTGATTTTCTATTTACTTACTCTTGATTCTATTATTTTGTGCGATGCCTCTCACTCTTATTTTAGGTAAAAGAATTGCAACTTAATTTCATTTTAGTCATGTATAATTCAAGTCATTTAAAAGAAAAAAAAATCAAACGTGCATCTTTGGTTTTTTAACAAGTTCATACATTGTCCATTTTGTGGAACCATGGTAGCATCTGATGCTTCGTGATTGGTTCCCATAAAGACATAAAAACTTATTTATTTGTAATTATTTGTGCTTCTAATAGCAAGTAATCAATAACAATGAAGTTATACATTTTTACAGTTCTTGAATAAGGGTTTTCATTACAACCAGTTCAGTCTTAGTAAAAACTAATAAGAACTTTGAACTTCCTTTGAGGGAAAAATGGTCAAAAAAATATTGATGACTTGATGCCTAAAGTTTTTGTTTCAGAAGTATCTAAAAGAATTAGGTTGCGTTTAGATACGGAAAAACAGTTTTCATTTTTCGTTTTTCGTTTTTTTTTCCTTTCAGTTTTCATATTCTGTTTTCATTTTTCATTGGAAAATTTAGAAAACGCGTTTAGTTAAAACTTATTCATTTTTCATTTTCAGTTTTAAAAATTAGAAAATGCGTTTAGATGTGTATTTTTCAATCGGTTTTCATTTTTTAGAAAATGGTAGCGGTGGTAGGGTGGGGTGGGGGCATTGGTGGTGATGACAGGCGGTGGTGGTGGCGGCAATTGTGGCAGTGGTGGTGATGGCGGTGACGGCGGTGGTGGTGGTGATGGGGTAGTGGTGGTGGTGATGGTGATGGTAGGTCGGTGATTATGGTAGTGGTGTTGGGTGGGTGGGTGTGTCTGTATGTGTTTATGGGTATGTATATGTGTTTGTGGGGGTGAGTGTGTGTGGGGTGTGTATGTGTGTGTGTTTGTGGGGGTGGGATGGGGATGGATGTGTGTGTATGTGTTTGTGGGTGTGTGTGTGTGTTTGTGTGTGTGTGGTTGGGTGGGGGTGAGCTTGGGAGTGAGTTGGTGTGGGTAGGTAGGGGTGTGGTAGGTTGGGGGTGTTAAGGTGGGGGTATGTAGAGATGGATAGGATGGGAGTGGGTGTGTGTTTAAATTTTAGAAAAAAAAAATTGGAATTAGAAAAATAAAGAAAACAATTATTATCGGTTTTCCAAAAAATTTCAATTTCTTTGTAATTTTAGAAAACAAAATTTTTTTCATTTTACGTAAAAAATTTAGAAAAATAGACGAACTAAACGCGTTTTCAAAATTCTCATTTTTTCGGAAAATTTTGCCGGAAAACGATCCATTTTTCCGCAACTAAACGCACCCTAGATTTTTATTGTTTAATGTTATTTTAGATCATTTGTGTGTTAAAAATGATGACATCCACATGTTTTTTTTAGTTAAATAGATAAACTTTTTTGTGGTTTTTTATCTCACCGGAGTGAGATTTTTTTTGTCATATGTTAAAAAGCGATTTCAAGATTTTTTTATAAAAGTTGTGCTATGAATATCATGATCTGATCTTGGAATATATATAGTGCATGGTGCATAATAAATGATTTTTTTTAATATTTGGAGTATATATAGTGCAATAAAAACAAATCACAGCACACCTTTTCGTAACCACTATATATATATATATATATATAATATATATATCTATATATATATATATATATATATATATATATATATATATATTCCAAGATGAGATCATGATATTTATGTCATCAAAACAAACTTAACCCATGTTCTATTTATTCTCTACGTAGCATATTTGGCAAAACAAATTCAAATAGTTTACTTGGTGCTTAATGTATACTTTTAGAAATATCAAAGACATAAAAACTTGTTTATCTGTAATTGTATGTGCTTCTGACAGCAAATAATTAATAGCAATGAAGCCATACGTTTTTAATGTCGTTGGATAAGGACTTTCATTACAACCATTTTAGTCTTAGTAAAAACTGATAAGAACTTTGTCCTTCTTTGAGGGAAAAATGGTCAAAAAAATATTGATGACTTAATGCCTAAAGTTTTTGTTTTAGAAGTAGCTAAAAGACTTAGATTTTTATTATTTAATGCTGTCTTAGGTCATTTGTATGTTAAAAATGATGACATTGACATGCTTTTTTAGTTAAATAGATAAACTTTTGTGTGGTTCTTTTTATTATCTCACTAGAATGAGATGTTTTTTTGTCATATGTTAAAAAAGATTTCAAGATTTTTATTAGGGATAATGACTTGAGAGGATAACCAACTATCCATTTTGTACATATTTAGTCATTTACCTTTTTTTTGGTACACCGTCAACCCTTAAAATTGTATTTTTGTTTAAATTATACCATTATTACCTGCTATTGCACGTAATAATGGTATGATTTAGACAAATACAAGTTTAAGGGTTGACAGTGCACCAAAAATAGTTAAGTGACCAAATATGTACGAAAAGTATAGTTGGTTATCCTCTCAAGTCATTATCCCTTTTTATTAAGTTGTGCTATAAAAGTGAGTGTATTTTGACAATTGATTCTTGATATTCCTAAAAGTATACTTAAGCAGCAAGTAAAATATTTGACAATTTTGCCCTCAAAGGAAGCTCAAAGTTCTTATAAGTTTTTACTAAGATTGAAATGTTAATAATACTACCTGATAACTGATAAGGAAGAATGATTGTTGGATAAACCTAAAAACTAATGTGATAATATATAATGACAGACACAAAGTGGTGGCATCACATCAACATATATAAAGAGAATCAATGAAAGCCATATTCTTTAGCATACAGTTAATCCGGTGGAAATTTCACCAAAATGTAGTGTTTTGATTTCTTCACACATATCAGCATCCAAATACAATTTTTTGATTAAACATTTGGCTTTGCATAAAATTTTGAAAATCTATACGTAAACATAAATTCTGATTGGGTAAAAACATCACAAGACACAAGTAGCATGCTTGTTGGAGAAATTTTACTCGTATAAGCCAGAAATATATTTTATTAGAAAAACAAAATAACGAGAAGAAATATAAGCTACACCAATTAATAGAATTGTTGAATGCGTGTATGAATATTACTTTGTATCAGTAAGATGGCCATGTAAACTCCATCTTTGGCGAAACCCTTTCACTGTAATAAGGTTTGTGTAAATAAATGATCTATAACGCAAATTAAATTATGGAAACTAAAACACAACCTAATATGGACTACATATATTCACTGACAATGTTTTCCAAAATTACAGATTTGGTACTTAATTTCACTCGAAATCAACACCAGTTGTGATTAGTACTACCCTACAACGCTTGAAAACCTCGGAATACTCTCAAATAGTGGTAAAAAGTTTTATTTTTGTATATTTCTACAATTTCATACTTGAGACTCACTAATATACATCTACAACGTATTCAAGGAAAAAGTATATGTCTTGAAGACCACAATAGCTGATTTCACATTCAAGGATATTTGGTATCATGTTACCTGTTCCACCTGTGGTAAATCAACACACAAAAAAGGTGATGAATGATTTTGTGTTTTCCATGGGCCCATATCTAACAAATGCCACTGCAAAAGAAATCATTGACTTCTTTCCTAATCAAGATAGAAAAACTTTACCAGAACCACTCAAACATTGTAAAGGGTTGACAAAGAATGTTTCTGTAGAGTGCACAAAACTTTCATCCACTAATAATATCCGTTTCACATTCACCACAACCAGTGATATTAAAAGTCCACAACCACCAATCACATCACTTATAAAAACACCAATTACACCTTCGACAACAATGGATCAGCCAACCACCAGCACTACGAAGTCTCTCACCCCTGCAAATAATCTATAGATATTCACTAAAAACTATGTCATCTTGTGACAAACATATCCATAACAGTTGTTGTATCTAACTAATTGTTTGATATCAAAATATTTTTTACTTATCAATTTGTTGTATTTGGTTTCTTTATTGTTCATGATATGGTTTGTGTATGTTATAAATGTTGCTATCTGTTGGAGCATCCTTTGGTTCATATCGTACAAAGTAGCAAGTCTTGTGAAATAAAGAAACGATCTGCACGGACAAGGTTTGAAAGGTCAAACCTTGAATTAACTTAAGATCAATGTATGCTACTAAGAAGATCCAGTCAAGTCTGGTAAACCAGTCTTATCTCGGAATAGAGATATTCAAGAAAGTATTCAACATATAAAATGATTAACAAGTATGAACAATGTAAAGTAAGGTAACTTGAGAATAATAAGAATGTAAGAGAGAGTGATTTGACTGAATGATTCTTGGTATTGATACGATAGAGAATGTTGCACTCAGATGTGTGCAAACAATCAACCTTACATCTCCTTAAATAGGCAAGGAGTGAGACAAATAAGACAAATCCCATAAAGTGCATGGACTAGAAGACAACTGAAGATCAACATACTGTCAAAGCTACATCTATTGATCTTGTCCCATGTACTATAAAAGAAAACAACTACTAAAAGACAAACTAATACTAGGAACAATTAATGTAGTATACAAAATCAGATAGCAAGTAATAAAAGGATGTGTCTCAGACAGATCTTCTCTTCGGAATAGGTATCATCTCAAAATTCTTCTACCTCGGAATAGGCTTCACTTCAGATTGCTAAGGGATCACTTTTCATGTATCAACAATCTCCCCCTAAGTGACCTTAGAAATTACTTGACTTATCACTTCGCTTCATCAAACATAAATAGGTAAGCACTTTGAAGCCATCTTCAGACCTTAAAGTACCATCTGAGATGCTCAATGAATCTCATTTTCACATGTTCCGAAGAATCACTCTTGTCCGCATTAAAGATGAATTTTTGAAGGAATTTGGTAGGAACGAGGTGTTTGTCTAGCACTTGGAAAAATTCCTTTTGATTGGTTTTCTTATTGAGGTATATGTAACTAAGTTCTGGTTCTTCGATGGGTCCTTCATCTAAAATTTGCGCTCCAGGCAGTTCGGTAGTGATTTTGGCTAAGAGTTTTTCTGTTCCAAACAGATGAGCAAACTCTACATCTGATCGACAAAATTCAACGATGTAGTCCTTCATGAAGCAGATAGCTGAGTTGTAGGCTCCGATGCTTGAATCATTTGATTGACGATCTCGAAGGTGAGCAACAATGATGAGAATGTCATTTGGATTAACCGAAGGAAAGTCTGCACCTGTGATAGTAATGGTAGATTCTTTGTTTCGAGAGAGGTAATATTTGTACAAGAGACAATCAAGGTCAAACTTGATTTGGACTTTTCTACCATGTCCAAATATCCTGGTGATTCTTTTCCGAGACCACACTTCCTTCTGGGGTCGTGCGTTGGTAGAATAGAAAGTGCTCAATCTCTGACGCCCAGTTCGGATGATAGTTTGAGGATCATCATTAGGATGCAGAGGTGTGAACTTGATGTAGTAGCGTCCATGTGGAGAGATTGGCAAGTCCAGTTGATCAGCATCTGGAGTTGGAAGATCAAAATACATAAAGGGTATGAAGTGTATATCATGAATCATCCCTTCTAGGAAAAGAGAAGAAATGCCCAACATTGGATTTGGGTTGTCTTTAAGCTCTTGAGTCTGAATGCTTTATTTCATTGCTTGATCAATTTGTTCCTGAAACCAACCCTCTGACTTTCTAAACGTCTTTAATGGGTTGTCCGAATCTAAAGGAATCTTTTTGCATTTATCTTGGGGATTGTTATCTTTCTCATAAATGGAGGAGCTGATTTGAAGACCAGATTCAGTGATGAATATTTCAGATGGAGGAGGAATCAGAGGCTCCTCAGGGATATCATCTGGTTTCTGGGTGGGAGAACCTTCATCAATTTGAGCAATCATCGGAGTAGGAATTAAAGGAAGCATGGACTGACTGGCTTAGAATGCACCTATCGTCAGTGTGGTTTTGAGCTTAGCCATATATTGAATCCATTTGAACACTTCTTCTAAAGATGATGGCCAAGAGACCGAGGACCATTTCATCTTCTCTGCTTCTGAAATAATTTTTACAGAGTGTTCCCTGATGGCTTGAATTCCTAAGATCACATCTTCAACTAAATCTTCATGTTCTTCATCTATGTTAATAGTTTCGACCTCCAGAATTTCATCATCGGTTGATTCATCATGGAGCAAAATCCGAGACAGGTTTCCATTGTATCGTTATTTCTCTTTCTCCCCCCTCTTCATGGATGGCCCTGCCTCCGATGCAAGTACAAACTCTGGATTGAGTTCCTCCAATCTTTCGAAAACTCATTGAAAATTTGTATTGAGCTGCTTGGTGAGAACGTCATATGCCTTGACTGTAGGAGCTTTAGCTTTGAGGTGGGCAAATGTTTCATCAAGAATGACAAGCATCTCATTGAATTTGTTGTTCAGAACATCCACAATATTCCAAGTTGAGCGAATGAGCTTGATGAGCACCTCTTGCATGACCATGTTCATGACATCTTTTTTACGGATCTCTTTCTCAAGACTTTGAATTTGTTTCTCATGATGAACATGAGTCTGCTTTATGAGTTCATTGGTAGCACTAATAATATCGTCATGGATTTTAAGAATGATGGTGGTGGTGGAGATTTGATGGCCGAGACTGCCATTATATTTTTGCTTAACTTCCTCGATAGTACGCTTTATCCAAAGTGAAATAAGTTGGTCTAGATGATTGGATCAGTCAAGTTCCAAGGGAGCGGAAACTTGGATCTCGAAAAGAGGTTTGAGGATGAGCTTGAGCTTGTAGTCTAGACCGGTGACTTTTTGATCAAACTTCGAATCAAGGCTTGTGACTTTCTGATCAAGTGAATCGACTTTGGAGTTGGCTGAGGCAATATTATCTTGAAATTCCAACATAGAAAAAGGATCTGCAATGTTCTCATCCGAGGATCCTGTGTTCGAGGTGGAACTTTTGGATTTCTTATAATTTTCATTTTCATCACCATTTGGTTCGGAAGGTTTGGAATCATCAACAGGAGTGTCTTAGGCTTCGCTATCTTGATCACCTTTCAAGATGCTTTCAGGAAAAGGAGAGGTGTGCTTGTTTCCTTCAAGAGTTTCTTCTTCTTCTTCAGATTCCTAGAAGGATGAGAAAAGACCAAAGTCATAATGTGGTTTTGAGGAAGATGGCTTATACAGAAGATTGAAGGCAGTGGGGATCGGAATAGCACCAACTAAAGTGTTATCATCTTCAAACATGATCTCATCGTAAAGATCTTCTTCAAAATTTGGATCAGGAACTTCTGCACTAGTACACTTTGGAGGATCATGTTCAGTGTTGTCAGGAATGGGAACCTCGGCACTTGGAGTCTTCTCTAAGGCGTTGATGAATGGTTGAAGCTCCTGATCTGTTTCTTCGTTTGATGGGAATGTGAAAGGAAGACGACTTCGGAGAGCTCGTTGACGCATAGAAATGAGCGTATATTCAACTTGTTCTCTAGTGAGTTCTGAATGTCTTGAATGAGTCCTGTCTACAAGCTCTGACCAATCAGTGTCAAAAATACCCGATCGTCCTTTACCTGAAGTAGGTAGTAGATCGGTTGTGGCTTGCGAACTAGGAGGGACAACTCCTGCTTCATAAATCTTAGAATCAGAGGCAGGGACCTCTGATTGTTCAAGTGTAGAAATGAGAGGGATTTCCCAAATGAGTCATGAGTGTGTCCCATGGGGCTTCAAGGGACTCTATTTAATACCTGCACTATCTTTTTGAGAAGATGGGGGTAGATTATTTGAAGACTCCCTATGTGTATGCAAAAATGATTTTGAAGTGCCGAAGAGTACTTAGGAAGAGTGGCCAGGTTGGGTAGACGGAGATCCAGATTCAGATGGAATGCCAATTTATGAATCCTTTTGAGAGGATTCATTGGATTTGGTTCTCTTTTTGGCTCGAAATTTAAAAGGTGATGCCTTTCGCTTGACAAGTTGTTTGATGCGTCCTCCAGAGGTGGTGGATTTGTTCTCATCTGAGGGGGTCTCATCCGAGAGCGGGGCAGGTTGTGTTGGTTTGAACACAACTGAGATCTCAATATGATGTTTGAGATTTGGTGAGTCCGATGGAATAATGGACAACATATGCTCAGGTAGACATATAATAGGTCTGAAAGCAGATTGACTAGGTAACCTATAAGTCTTAATAGTTTTGAAAGTTAGTATACCTCTTTGATGTCCGAGTTGAGAGGAATGGATTTTTGTCTCTCGGAGTAGAGCTATTGTAGCGTCAGAGACTAGAATCTTGGACTCAAAATTTCATTTGGCTTCCTCTTGACTACAAATTTCTGAAAATCTTGCCATAGCACCTCCGGCGCGTCGACGGCGTTAGTTCTTCTGGTGAAGATGTTGTATACAACATAGATCCAGTATTTAGTCATGGTGTCTGTACCACCATGTTTTCCGGATAAACCTCGAAGAATCAAGTGCATCAAGATGGTCCAAAGACCAGGAACGACTGATTTGTTGAATTCCTTTTCCTTGAACTCCCCATTGTAACTGATTTGGTTCAAAAACAACTGAAACTCTTCATACGTTGGTTCCTGCACTTGAAAAACTTTGGGGTTTTTCTACAATTCTTGTGGCCTTGAGGAAGGTAGCTTTGTGAACTGGTACAATTATGTCATCTATGATCTTCGTTTCAAGAACATCTTTGTCGGTCTTTACTCGTTCAAAAGCTTTGGGAAGAAGTCGTAGAGGAAAATTAGGGTTATGGATATTAGTGAGAGGAACGGTGATGGGATGGTGGGAGATGAACTCGATCATGATGCATACAGATTCATCATAATCCATGGGATCGAGAGAAAACAATTGGGTTGTTTCTCTGAGAATGAACTCAATGGGTGAAGACGAAGTGGATC